TTTAGGGATTTAGGGGTTTGGGGCTAAGGAACCCTAAACCCTAAACCCTAAGAAGATTCTGGAGGAAACCCTAAAGACCTGCCATGAAGAGACTGGGTTGCTGACAAGGAATTTAGAATTAGTTACCATACTGGGTGTATATATATATAAAGATAGGGTATGTAGGGACTATAGGGCATATAGGGTCTAGGGTTTCCATAATGGGTATATATATAGAGTAAATATAGTAAATTATAGGGTTTGCCCTATATATAGTAACTTGAATTAAGTTCCTTAACAGCAACCCAGCTTGGGGTTTGGGACTGGCATTACGTTTGGGATTTGACTGGCCCAGGGTTCACTTGGAAGCAAGTTAAATGGACCTCATAGCTGACGGCCTACGATGAAGGTACTTGGAGGGTAAGGGGGACTTAGTAAGTAGGTTAATAGAGGGGATAACTAGGGTTACTATATGGGGTATAGGGGTTCTGAACCTACTTAGTAAGTCCCCCTGAGCCTCCAAGTAGGCTCTGTTTCATGCTGAGATCGAGACCCACGGGAGTGCGCACCTGCCGGATCTCTTACCCTAGAGATCTGACCTCATGAGCGCAACCTTTGAAGAGCATGTGGTTGTTTCCCTGAATCAGCGAGCAGTACATGCCGCAGAATCTAGCACAATCCCTCTGAAAAACACCACCCAAATGGGAAACCCAAGGTTTTTTGGGAAGCTTCCTTGTAAAGCACCCAAAGAACGACCCGCTTTTTCAGGAATGTCCAGATATCTGGGACAGTCAGTGTTTAGGGTTTCGGGTTATCAGCCAAATTGGCTCTAAGGCGTATTAGCTCGTCTTAGGGTGACCTGTAGAGGCCTACACAATCTCAATCGGGTCTTGGGGACTCGGGGATACCCTGCTGCTTGGAAATGTGATGTGCAAAGTGTGAGGTTGATGCAGGCTTCCATTCCCAAACTCATTCTTCGCAGTTAGATGATGTTGATACGAACTGCTTGCGTGCGCCGAGGGCAAGGTGGCATGCATGACCCACAATCCCAGATATTTGTAGTACATGGCCATATTGGGTTTAGGGTTTAGGGTTTAGGGTTTAGGGTTATCGTTGTTGTTATGTTTGGTTCTCAGGCCACTCTGCCATCTGCAAGATCAAAGCTATTTCCGGACTAAGGACGCCATGATGTATGCAACTACGCCCCACATGTTCGGCTCGAACCTCAGTCCCCAATCAATGAAGAGAGCACATCTAAGGGGATCAGCAACAGAGCTAGTGCCTTGTTTAGGGTTTAGGATTTAGGGTTTAGGGTGTAGGGTTTGGTTTATAGCCCCCCTTAAGTAGATAGAATAGGGGGTAGATGGGGATCTTATTATAATCTACCCAAAGCCATATTCTATCTACTTAACAGGGACTATAGAGCACAGGCTTGTTGTTGCATATGCCCCAAGCGACCTGGCAGAGGTGTCTATGCCTGCACTATCCCGCACCTTAGCAATCGGATCTGCATCCTCTGTTGCTACAGCCAGCAAGAATCAGAGACGTGCATCATTCATTGGCCCCAGCATGGACCCCGATGTGCTGGAATCTTTCTTACAGGGGTCCCTAAAAAGTGATACCTGTTTTTGGGAAACCTGAATCTCATCAATCCTTTCACTTAACTTTCTGCTTAGGACAGCTTTGGAACAACTACCCATAACCTACACCACGAAGAAGGCCTGCGCGCAAAGATGCAAAGGTCAGGAAGGGTGTGGCCACCAGAGTAAGCATCACAGTACTTCTGGTCAAGGCAAAAGGATGGTTGTAGGAAACACAGCATGGACCCTACTATGTACAGTCATATGAGCTGTAGTCTAAACCCCTTTTATCCCCCTTAATAAGCCCCATCATACTCCTCCACATAAGCCCCTATATAACACCTTTCAAGGAGCTTACACTAGAGCTCGTATGATAGTTGTAGCTCCTAATTTACGGAACTGGTAGATGTATGTCCTTTTCTACGGCGCTCTTGGGTTTATGTGCTTCGCGGCGTTTCGGCTCAGGCAGGGATTTGCCAGGGTTCCCAGTGTTCACGAGGTAAAGTACTGTTAATCCGTCACCTTCACCAGCACTTGAGGCAGTCGGTCAGGCATATGAGCTATAATAATCTGAACTCCTTCAAGGAGGTTATATAGGGCATTATTTCAAGTAGGGGAGTATTAACAGGGTCATCGAGAGGGATGCCAGACTACAGCTCGTATATCTTCGCTTCTCCAAGAATCGACATGCCAAGGCCCGTGTCAAAAAGAAATGCGACCTCCTTTCACACATTGCTGGCAACGTTTCATGGCCTGCTATGTCGAGATTTGCCCACTTCTGTTTGCTTCCTGTCCTGGGCCACACCTGGTATGGCTGGAGAGAGGATGAAACTGGAATTTATGCAGAGCTACAGATTGCCTCCATGCCATTTAAGGCAAACTTCGCACGGATGAAGGATGGGCGCCCCAAACGATTCTGGATAGAAGTTGGCGCCCACGCATGGGAAAATTTGCAATTTTCTCCTGGCTTCGCCAAGTCCGAAGATGACTCTTGGCTGTCTTCTGCCTGGCTGTTAGGACTTCAACTTTTAGGGTTTAGGGTTCAGGGGTTTGGGTTCCCTACTTTCTATATGAAGGAGGCTAAAGGTTTAACTTGTAGGGGGGGGGGGTTCTAAAGAAACCTTAAACCCTAAACCCTAAACCCTAAACCTTAAACCCTAAACCCTAAACCCTTAAACCCTAAACCGCTAAGGACTTCTTGATCTCCTTTGAGCCACTCCTGGATAAGTATGCCATGCTCTTAGCCAGGCGATGCTCAACAATGGGTTTAGGGTTTAGGGATTAGGGTTTAGGGTTTAGGGCTTATGTAGACCCATGATTAATAGACCCCCGCCTTTAAAGGAGCTAAATACTAGGATCCCTAGTATAATCCCAAATTATGAAGGGGAGGGGGTTTATTAATCAGTGGTCTGGGCTACCTTTTTAAATTCACCCCGGTGACATGAATCTTCAAGAGGCACTTCTAGTCATCCCTCTGGAGGCACCACACCCCTAAGCTTACTGGGGTTAATAGGGTTTGGGGTTTAGGGTAGGCAGTAAGCGAATATACTCCCTGTATAATATATTCCCTTATGCCCTACTACCCTCCAGCAAGTAAGCCCGCATTCGATTCGATTTCAGATTGCAGCTTCCATCACGCAGCGGGTCGCAGGTCCAGGAAGTGTTTCACACGAATGCGTACTAAGCACACCTCACCCTTAATGTTACATATGCCTCCCCCCCTTGTAGAAAGTCTCTTATGGGGAACATGAGGGGTGTCCATTGCCCCTTGCCTCCACGCCCTGAACCCACCCTACTCACCCTACCTTTCTAACCTTTGCCTGATCAAATATAATCCTCCCCCCAAGATTAAAACCCAGCACCCCTTTACCATTAAACATTCCGAATACATTTTATATAGTATACCGCAATGGGAACATGTCATATCTGGGGGGGTGCTGTTTTCCCTTTGGGGAGACGATTACTGCAGGTATGAGGGAGATGTGACAGAACGCCGACCGCTGGGTTTTCAGCATAAACGTGGACTGGCTTTTCCATTTGCAGCTTGGGCTAGCTTGAGCTGATTGTATTTTCAAAGCTGTTGCAAGGTTCAAAACCATGTCCTTCTTGGAGTCCCTGCGAGCGCAGAACATATAAAGCTCATGTCTTGGATATGTAGTCCCGCTTAAGTAGATAGAATATGGAGTATGTTTTGATCTTATCATAACATACCCGAAGCCATATCTATCTATTGAGGGGGACTATACTCGGTCTCGGTGTATTCTGGCGGACATTCACCTCCAGTTTCAGATGTTGATTGAAGGTGTTTCTACTGAGCAGCTTTGTCCTTTTTAGGCATCATTGGGGAGCAGGGCAAGATTTGAGGTCTTTGTGGCACAGCCCAGGCAGTAGGATGCGAGACTCGCTACACCTCGTTTACAGCGACGGACTATGACATGTGCAGCACAGTTCTGCCTACAGCTGATGAAAGCTCTCCTGGCTTCTGGCCCCCTAACTGCCTTTCTGGTGCTGAAAGGCGTACTGTGCCCTGCATTTCGCTGCGGCACGTACTGGAATCATGGTTGTCCGGGCAGGAGGTCTACTTTTTGAAAATTGACGCCCAGGGCTACGACCTGAATGTGGTGCAATCGGCAGGCCCACTGCTGCGAAAGGTCCTGTGAACCCAAAACAGAAGCTGTTCTCATCCTTTTTTCATGGTTGCTACCTTTGGCCAAAAGCTTCCTCACATGTAGCCAAGTGGTAGTTTCCCATTGTAACGAGACCCGACTATGGACCGGAAATACTATAATCCTTGTTATCGGGACCCAGCAAATGGCACCCCTAATTTTGGGAAACCCCCCAAGTAGCATAGTTGGGACGCAGTGTACTGTAGTGATTGATTTGCAAGCTATCCCATGCTCCCGCACATCCAACACTCCCTAGACAGGGTAGGCTCCTGGATATCGAATATTTTCGCTAATGGCTCAATAGGGGACCCTATATACGAATGTTGCTCAAAGGGTATTTAGGGGCCAACCCAGTAAAATAGCCCAAAGAAACGGGGAAGACACATTTAATGTTTGTTGGTAGGGGTGAGAATGCAGATGTATCAGGTAGAAGTGATAAGTTCAGTTCCCAGCTTCCTGAGACCTCTGTTTCGCAGCCAGTAACACCCTACAGTTTAGGATTTAGGGTTTACCTAAACCCTAANNCTAAACCCCTAAACCCCTGAATTATAGGGTATAGGAACACCCTAAACTCACCCCCAGGTCCAGAATATTGAGCTCGAAGGAGCTTGCGACCACGCAGCACGGCTCTACCCAGGAGCTCCTAACTGTGTCTTGCATGGATAATCTAGGGTTTAGGGTTTA